ATAATCACAACAACTTTGAGAGCTGGGTTTAAGAGAAAAATATTGATCAGATTAGAATTATGTGAGAGGAATAAACACTGAATGTCTGCAATTCATAACTATATGAGCTACATTGAACCCCATAGGTTCAATGCAACTATTTACAGTGTAATGTTTGATGCTACTTTCCATTTCTGTGACAAAATTCTGTTTTTGCAGAATTTTGCTGACATATTGAGAGGTAATATTATCTTAAGGTGAGCCTAATTATGATGATATATTCATTGTGATTCTGGACACTGACTTTTCTCTTTTAAACTAACTCAGAATAAAGTAGTTCCAATCTGAAGAAAAAGTATATTTGTACTGCATAATTACATCTACATCTCTTTCAGATATCTTCCTGTAGTTAAAAAAGATAGTGAGCTAAAAGAAAAGCAGTTAAAATATGGTAAGGAAGGAAGGAAGGAGCGGGGAGGGAGGGAGGAAAGAAGGAAATCTGAAAAATGAATGGCAGGTACACTTATTAATACATGGTGATCCATCAGTTTATATGCAGACGTGTCTTGTATATGATTATTTTCAATGAAATATCTCTGAAAAATACCTTAATTCTTGACATTCAGTTTAGGGCCTTTGAATAAATAATAGGGTGATTTTCTGCCAAGAATTAAAAATATATTAAACTTTATGTTGAATTTCCTCTTTAGTTTAATTTTGATATATTCCTCTCCTAGGATTTCAGCTACTTTGATTTTTTTTTGTTTAATTTGAAATAAAAAAGTAAGAAAAATCTAAAGACATGCACAGGAAAGCCCAAACTGCTGAAATTCTTCACCTGTAGTAAGTACTCATATAAAGTATTATGAAATAAGGGGTCTTCCTTGCCCCCCTTTCCTGTTAATTTTTTTTGTAACCGCAGGTGAATAGCAAAAGCAGAAGATTCTTCATTATATTCTGATTAGGCTACCATGAGGGCAGATGGAAACTTTTTCCTTTAACATTAATGATTACCTCTGAACCCCATCCTTCTTCCAGAAAATCGATTGATGACCTTAACGTTCCAAAATATATTACATTTGTGCTTTATACTTTTATAACTATTTGTTTCTATTGGACTAAAGGCAATACAATATTTTAAACAAACAAATATCCCTATAGTATAGATCCAACTGGGACAAAGTTTAATTTTTCCAAGCCCACATAGTCCTTCAAATCAGTTTCACATTTAAACTCACATTTCTTCAGTTACTATATCACAATAAAGATGCAGTGAAAGAGGACCATTGTTGCTGTGGGTATTTGCTGTTACAAAGTGATGTTTGCAGACTGAAATGTAAAAAAAAAAAAGAAGCAAACATATGGTGCATTTTAATTCTGCTATGAATCATGCCTGATGGCTTCTCCTATGAATCACTACAAAATGAATCATAATACTTCATCTCTCTGAAACTAACTTAGCTGTCTCTAAAATTAAATGGTTTATATATATACCTCTCCAAAAGGTTCTTACAGACTTTTCAAAAATTCAGGCAACATTTTCTCAACATTTATACCAAATCATTTCTGGGATGTTTTCTTCTCAGCTTAGAACAAGTAATTGTATATTGGAAGATGAACAAGAGAGTCTGGTTACAAAAGATAAGGTAGACCAGTGAAATTCCGTATGTTGTTTCATGTTTAGATTTTTGGCTGTTGTGGAGTTAGCATCAAAATCTCTCAGTGATGCCTCTTTTTGCCATTGAGTTTTACAATGCCATATTTAAAAATTGACTCATTCTAGCTTCCAAATGACTAAACCTTGAAAAACCACAGAGGATTTTTTCCCCAGCATATGAGTATGGTAACTTTTCAAAGCGCTGCACTGCATATATGAAAAAAAACTCATATTCATTTCTAAAATCAAATACTAAAGGTCTTCTCAACTTTCCACTGAATCTTAAAACACTGGAGGTTTTCCCCCAAAGATCTTAGTTGAAATATTATTATTATTATTATTATTATTATTATTATTATTATTATTATTATTATTATTATTATTATTATTGTCATAGTTCCAATGAGCTCCATTCCTCCAATGAGAGAGGGAGGAAATTATATTCTGCTAAATGATTTCTGTGCTGTCCCAGCCAGTCTATGGGAATTGGATAGTTACTTAGGAATTATGAGCTGTCCCCTTAAGGAAATGCATCATAGTAAATGTAGTTAAAGGTATCCTGGGAAATGTAGTTCATGTCACATGGCCACATCTGTAATCCTGATTGGTCACTAAGTTGGCCCTTGAGGGGTTGGAGGAGTCTCCCTCCATTCTTGCCTGGACTCATGAACTGATAGCAGCTTTTCTACCACTATGAGATGGGTTAGGAGATAACCATCTTTCACCTGCAAGGCTGATATACAAAGGACTGGTCATAAAAGAAGAACTTCATCACAAATGTGAGTTATGAAGATACCTGATGTACCAATAAATGTACTTTGTTATGGATGTTTTGTGGAATCTATCTATCTGCATCTGCACAGCTACAAATCCACCTCTGTGCATGAGACAGGAAAATTTCTTTTTAATGGTTTACAGGAGACAAGGTTGAGAGAGGACCTGAGAGCTGTCTTCAAATACCCAAAACACTGTTTGAATTTATTTTTACTTTTTCTAGAGCTTAAGACTAATTGGATGAAATTTCAAAGATGTAGATACAGGGTCAGTGTTATTAAAAATTTATGGAGAGTAAGAGCTATCAATCAATGGAACAAGTTACTCACATGCATGGCCCTTCACTGAGGTTTTCAAATAGAAGCTGGATAGTCATTGATAGTCATACTGGGGATGGTGTTGTGAATCTTGCATTGTGTAGGAGATTGGACTTGATGACCTCTTGGATGCTTTCCAATTCTGTCATTCTATGATTTCATGAAATATCAGTTAGCAGGTTGAACTTCAAACAGAGGCATATGTTCTTCCTTTGGCCTGAAAAAATATCCAACCTCAAGGAACTGCTACTAGGATTTCTCTGTGCTACTAGTTTCCATTTTTTCGCTTCACACCAGAGTGCTTTTCCGGCGCTATTTGAACTGAGTTCTCTGAAGGTCTTCCTAGGACTTGAAACTGCAGAGTCAGTCGCTCAGACACACTCAAGCGGCACAAAAGGAATGTCCTCCCCGCCGAGTGCGGGACGGTGGAAGGGTGCCACTCAGCTAGCTCAGGTTCATCTCCCAGCAATTAGCTGTTTCCTAACCTGCTGGCGGCTTTAGTCCTCTTGTGCTGCCAGGCTTGGATTCAAGGTCAGACACTCCCCACCTCCACTCCCAAGAAAGGAACTTGTGGAGAAAGATACCGGTGATCTTTGGAAGACATGGGCATTGAGCCATTTGGGAAGCTTGTAAACACCAAGTCTGAAATTCTCAAATAAAGGGAAGTACGTAGCAAAAAAAGCTGCTCTGTTATCTTTTTCTTTCTTCCCAAGGAGGTCTTTGAAAACAGGTGTGGACTGCTTTTAATCTTAGGCAATAGCCAGCAATATACCATAAACTTCAATTAGTTAAAAAGAAGAAATGAAGGAATTATTAATCCCGAAGGAAGAGGCAGCAGCCATGCTGTACAAGGGAGCTGTCATCAATCCAGTGAAGGTTTCCTTTATGCGCTTTTACTGTGCACCAGAAGATTTCTTCTATCATCACTTCCAAAACATCCCAAATCAGAGAGGCTATTGACTTCCTACAGAATTTGTAACATGGGGTACATGAAAGGTAGTAGATTTGGAATCTGCATTGTCTACATTTCCTCCCAGTGGCAAAGAAAAGGATTCAGCATGTCCCAGCTCATCTTCTGGGAAGGTGCAACTTATCTAAGGTAGTGTTTCTACTCTTAGCTACTTTAACATATATAGACTTCAACTCCCAGGATTCCCCAGCTAGTCATGCTGGCTGGGAATTTCTGGGAATTAAAGTTTACACATCTTACGAGTTGCCAGGCTTGAGAAACATTTTTAAGGGTTGTGATACATATTCTAATAAACTACTTTATGAGCGTCCAGATTGTGAAATCTGCTTGCTATATAAACCCATAAAATTGGATTTATTATGTCATTACAGTGGAATATTAGGTTGAGGAAACTACAAAGGCTTCTAAACACATTAATAGGAACAATACGTTTCTTAAATCAGGGTGAATTAACTTGCTTTCTTGCCACAGAGCATGAAGTTGTGCTCTTCACAATAACCTACACTATAAAGTTAACCAGGCATCTGAAGGCAAATGCCACAAATACTAGCTCTCCTCAACAGTGCTAAAATTGTAACAGCAAAAATGTATAATGTTAATAGTGACTAGTTTTATATATTGTTTGATGATCAAATAAATTCACACAATAAGTCAAAACCAAACAAATCACATGGTTTAGTGCAAATGTAAATATACTGCTTTTATTTTTAAACACATAGTAATAATGTTAATATACTGTAGTACTTTAATGAAAGAATTCATTTACAGATACAACTGAAAAAAAAAAAAACAGCCACACCCTTGGTTTAATGACTGAATTAGTACTCAGAAAGTCTTTGTAAGACTTCGTAAGTCTTTTTAAACTTATAGCTAAGTAAGGCTAGTGGACTTACACTGCTCCCATAATATTATGGTTGTGTTCTTTACTCCAATGTAAATTAAGGCAATGAATGCATTCATACATACACATTTGAAATGCCAATGCTGATTGATTGCAAATATAGAAACATTGTTTTTAATCTCCATTTTAAAGAGAGTAAAATTATTTCAAAACTTTCCTGGCTTTAACCTTTTCCTTTAAACCTTTGCCCATTGATATCTGCATAGCAGTTGCATAATACTAACTTTGATGTAAAATTACAGTGGAAAAAAAAATAGATCATTGAATGCCCACTCTTCTCAGCTGAAATCAGACAATACAACTTTTATAAATCACATTCAGTTTTCCAATCAATGCTAAGATAAACTGGAACTTGATATCTGATTTGCAATAGCTTATTTTAATATTCATCTCTCTCCTCAGATGCTGCTGGTGAGCAAGATATCAATTCTGCTGAGAATGTGGATGACACTGAAGACAATGAGGAATTCCTAGAGAAGCTCATATCCATTACCTCCAAGAGTTTACCGAAACTGGAGGTAGAGGAGAGATACAACATAACCAGAGAGCTAGGGAGTGGCTCCTATGGACATGTTCTACAGGTTCAGCATCGTGAGAGAGGTAAGAGTACATAAATGTGACCATTTGATTGGGTTTAAATAATAGCCAGGAAGACCCAACCTGTGTTTACCAATATACCTGTTGGAACATTTCAGAGTCCCCATTTCCATTATTTTGCAGATTCTTTCAATAAAAAATAAATCTATGGAAAACTGGTATTCTATTTTTGGTATGGAAATTTATGGAAAACTGGCATTCTATTTTTGGGCAAAATTTGAAGGGCTGCCACCAAGAAGAAAGGGTCAACCTATTTTCCAAAGCACCCAAGGCAAGACAAGAAACAACAGATGGAAACCTATAAAAGAGACATACAATCATACAGAATTTAGGAGAAATTTCGTGACAATGAGAACAATTAACCAATGGAACAGCTTGCCTTGAAAGCTGTGATTGATCCATTATTGGAAACTTTTAAAAAGAGACTGGGCAGCCAAATATCTGAAATGATACAGGGTGTCTTGCTTGAGCAGAATGTTGGACTAGAACAACTTCCACAATGTTCTATGTTCTACAGAACAAAGGGCCAGCCTGATGTGCTAAACAGAATCTTGGGGAACTGATAGGAAGTAGGGGAATGTCCTTATTAGTTTATCTTCTGGCAGGGCAGATGCTTATTTTGAGTGTGGTCACGTCCTATCAACAGATGACATGGAAGCCATACTACTCGGAGTGAGGCTTCTCTAAGAAACTGTCTGCAGATGCTGTGAGGATGACACATCTTTGCCCCTCTTTGAATCCAAAAATTAGCCATCTTTATTTAGCCCCTTTGTGAATAAAACTTTGGGAGCCAAAAATTCATTTGGAATATTTTTATGCCTATCATGTAATACAAAATGGCCACAAGGCCATTTGCCTATTCACCAAATAATTGTGTATCCAGCAAAGATGCCAATATAGGTTCTGAAGCAGTTTTCCCCACAACAAATGCAAATAATATACATTTCTAGACTTTCCTATGGTTCATTTTAACCGTTAAGTATTGAGTAAGACAGTGATAATGTTAATCCATAAATCTTGATTTATAGATTCCAGTGGCTGGATTTACACATCCCACTAAGCCAAAAGCGAACAAACCTTTTTCCAGCTTAGCATTATGTATGAAGCCAGACCATAATATATCATGCTATTGTTTATCTGAGTTTATTCTGTTGTTCAATAGGTACAGGTTTATGAAGATCATATTGGAAAGTCTTATTCACAAGTTCTCCATTTAAGAATTCACTTAATTATGAGGAATTTAAGGGTTCCTCAAGTTGGGATTAAAGTTTTATTTCATCAAGTCAACTTGGGTTGAGTTTAGTCTGCGCTGTTTGTGGCTGTCACCCAACTAACACTGCCTGCAATTAATTAACTGTGTCATTCTAGGCATGTGGACAACTGCCAACAAGCAGGTGCTGCTTTGGCAAAGCAAAACCTAGCAAATAGAACAGCAAATTGGCTAGCTTCCCAACTGTAAGGCATACAGAAGAAAACACTCCTTAAGAAAAATGAAAATGAATGGCAGATTCATGCAAGTAAAATTCTGAGCACAGAGTATGGAGGTTTGCTTTTTTCCCTATTACATAGATTTCCTTTATTGCTTAATTAACTAGCTTCACAGTGCCACCTAGTGGGATTCAGTAACACCTCCAAGTTTGAAAGTTTGATCTCCCAATATTTTTCCTTTCTTCTCTGTTTGGCTTCCAGCCCTGAGACTCTATGAAAGTCGTCCACTGATGTCCTGACTACTTAGATTCAGATCAAAGGCAGTATCAATCAGATATTGCTAAGACTTTGATACCCCTAAACTAGCAAAAGGTGTCACCACTAACCCCCATATTCCATATATTTTGATTCTAAAACCCCTTCCTTTGAATATCAAGTTGACTAGCCTTTAAGAATGTCAGAAACAGTTAATTAACAAACAAACTGCAGATAAACCAAAAGCATTTGTTTTCACATTTTTCTCTCTCCTTTAAAATGGACTCTGGATGCGGGAGGGGGAAGAATGCCGTTTTCTATTACTTGGAAGCTTATTCTGAAGAATCAAAACAACATTGAATTAGTCAGTTTTCAGGGTAAATATTTCTAGCAGCTCTAAAAGATGCATTTCATCAGCTTGTTTGCATCTATTAGGACATCTGCAGGAAAGACAATCCCAGCCACGTCTAGTCTCTTTCTTCCTCTGTAAGGCTTTGTCCAAGTTGTTGTGGGTTTACTTTCAGTCTCATATCTTTTTTTGGTGGGGGCAGGGAAGGAACTATTATATGATTAAGAAAATTAACATAACCAGATGCAAAGACAAGGCTTTTAAAGTTCATTTGCAAGTCAAAATGCATCGCAAAGATCACTAATGTATTTGCCTGGTCTTATGGGATGAATCTCTAAAAATAATATTATAAGCAGATCAAGATTTCAGAAAATTTTCTCCTGAAGCATTTAATATACTATGAAAAACACAATATAATCCTGACACATGCACCTGGTAATTATTATATTAAACACAGTAGCAGTCAACCAGTTTGGTGTACGGTTAAGGTACAATCAAAAGAACAAAACAAAACAGGAATCTGTATTCCTGTTCTGCCTTAGGCATATATGTGTGTGTGTTTGTGTGTGCGTCTGTGTGTATTTATCGCCAAATATTTGTTGCCATATATCCTTGCTTGCAGGAATCTCAATGGCTTTGAAACTGATGTCCAAGGAACACACAGGGAGACGGGAGTTCCTGTGGGAATATTGTATTTCTCTCTGCCTTTCTTCACACCCTACACTTCTTCGAACCATTGGCAGTGCTTTTGAATCATCTACACATTATGGATTTGCACAGGAGCTGGCACCGGCTGGAGACCTCTGCAGCATTCTGAACTCGGGGGTATAAAAGTCTAAAGACTTTAAGGACACCACAAATCAGTGGTGGGATTCAAATGTTTTTACTACCGGTTCTGTGGGCATGGCTTGGTGGGCGTGGCAAGGGAACGATAGTGTAAAATCTCCAGTCAGAGGTGGTATTTGCTAGTTTTCTGAACTACTCAAAATTTCTGCTACCAGTTCTCCAGAACTGGTCAGAACCTTCTGAACACCACCTCTGCCACAAATGGCAAGATCTCATCAAGCATGGGATATGATAGGGTGATAGTTTTTGAGTGGGTACAAGAGGAGAATTAAGGGTAGGGTAATTATTAGATAAAAGGAGAGTTTGCAACAAGTTTTTCAATCCTGCTTGTAATTTGAATGGTAAAAGAACAGAGTGATAGCGCATTAAATACTGTTTCATTTATTTGGAGGCTTTTTTTGTACCCAACTGAGCTAGGTGCCCTTTTATTCTTTAAAATCACAGATTATACTTTTCTGTACATATATTTGCTTTCTTCTTTTGATACTTTAAACTGTTTCCAAGTTGACCAGATGATGGTTTGGTTTATACAATTATGGTATATACTGTAAATATACAATTTTTCTTTAAACTGTTTCCAAGTTGACCAGATGATAGTTTGGTTAATACAATTATGGTATATACTGTAAATATACAATTTTTTAGAGAGTACTAGCCTATTACAGTGTTGGCAACCTATATCATTTATGCATGGTTTCTGTAGAAACAAAAAAACATTTCTTTATAACTTTTCAAGACAAGGACTCAGGGGTGGGATTCTACAGTTTCACACCTATTCTCTAGAACCAGTTATTAACATTCTAAGCAGTTCGGAGAACCGGTTGTTAGAAGAAATTACTGGCCTAATCCTGTAAGGAAGGCGGAAAGGAAACATTCTGGTGTTGCTTACAGAAACTGCCTCTCCGTTAATCCTTATTACATTCTTGGCAGGACTAGACTTCCTGTCTCTGGAACTTCTCTGGAGGTTTTTTTCCCTCCTTTGCTGGTACTTTGCTTGTATCGAATGACCATTCAAAGTTACAATGGCACTGAAAAAAGTGACTTATGACATTTTTCACATTTACGATTGTTGCAGCATCCCACAGTCATGAGAGGCCAGGCAAGGAGATGCGTGCCTTGATGTGAGTGATGTTGAGTTGGCCACACCCAGCCAGTCACATGATCACCAAGCCACACCCACCAACTAAGCCACACCCACAGAACTGGTTGTTAAAAAAATTGAATCCCACCCCTGCAAGGACTCCTTGATTAATTGCAGGAAGATTGTTTTCAAATTGGCTCCACTGAAATCCTGGGAATTTTGTGGAGCTTTTCTGTAATTCTATTTCTTTTTTCTTCAACAGGAGGGACTTCCTGAGGTGCAAGTGAAACAGTGTGCAGCCCAATTGGCTGATGCCCTGGATTTCATGCATGGCAAAGCCCTTGTACACCGGGATATAAAACTAGACAATGTGCTGCTTTTTGACCAAGAATGCCAGCTGGTGAAATTAGGTGACTTTGGCCTGACACGACTGGAAGGCACCCTCATATCTGCTATGTCTACTGTCCTGCCATATTCCCCACCAGAACTGTGCCTGCTAGAGAAGACAGAGTCTCTAGCTCTGGACTCAAGCCTTGATATTTGGGCTTTTGGAGTGCTGTTGTTCTGTATCTGTACTGGTTGCATCCCTTGGGATATGGCAATGAGCCCTGATCCTAAGTTTGAAGAATTTAGCATCTGGCAAAATCGCACAATACCAGGTGAGGCTCCAGGCCTGTGGAAAGTTTTCACAGCTCCTGCCTTGCGTATGTTCTGCCGCATCATGGCTCTTGACCCTAACCGTCGTAGCCCTGCTATTGAAGTGAACAAATACTTGCATTTGCCTTGGCGAGTGGGTACTTCTGAAGAAACCCAGGATGATTTATTGAAGACAATTAATTCTGAGGCCTGTCTTAAGGGACCTAGTGAGGACAATACTGAACTGGGCAGAAACCCCAAGGAGAATTGCCTTCAGCAAATGCAACTCGACGTCATTCCCCCGGAGAAAACTCATACCATACAGATGGGTCCCAATCCTGGAAGCAGTCCCAGTCCACATGAAGGTTCAAGGCTAAAGGGACCTGGGCTTGAGCCCTGAAGAAAGTATCAGCTCTGAAAATAATGGTTACTTTCATCAGGGAAAAACAAGAAGGACTCCTCTTCCTATAAAGGAAGACTAGAACTAGTCACTCCATAGGGAGATTTTCAGAATAGGAGTGCTCAGTTGTGTAGTATCAATGTAGCATCATGATACCTAGAAACAGTTCTGGAGAATTATTATTTTTTGAATAGCCATCCTTTTTTTTCTTGTTTTTTAATGATACATCCAGATAATGCAACAAAAACAAATAATTGCAATTCAGTATTTCTAGCTTTATCCTTTCATGGATTTTTTTTAAATATCGGATTTGAAAGAAGGCCATCTAGTTCTGACTTCTCAGGATGCTATTCTTTTAATATCTTCCACTTTGTAGGTCTTATGCATTTTTCTTGCATTAATTATGCCTTGTTTAATTATTGCATATAAAATTATATAAAAATTGCTTGCATTAATGCATTAATTCCTGGATGGGATTAATGATCAATAGATTGTTAAAAAAAATCAATAGCTTCCTGAATTTTCTGAAATTGGAAACTTTTCATTAATGTTTTCCTTGAATTCTATTTACTTTTTTCTTTTCTTTTTAAGAAGAACTAGGCTCTTTAAACATTTTTTTTCTAATAGTTGAAAGGAACATATCCACAATTCAAGTTTCTGTCACAGGAACAGACACTATAAATGCAGCAGTTCAGGGAAGATAATAATATAATAATAGTCTTTCATCACAAAAGGCAAGTGAAACTAATAGGAATTAATCTGTAACCTGTAAATAAACTTTAATTGAGTTTTAAATAACTTTTGCTCAATTAGACTTATAAGTAAATGTACATGGATCTTTTGCACAGGAAAAGGGTATTTTAGATAATATAGTGACACTTTATTTGCATGGAATTTTTACATTATTTCTGCATGAAACAATTCACAAGGAAGTAATATTTTTGCAGTGCCAAAAGGTTCTAATACGGAAGGATCCAAAATATTACGTTTTATATCTGTAGCAAAAGCCTAATCGTTGAACCAAAAAGGGTAGATAATTGTTGGGAAGTATGATATCCTGAAGTAGTGAGTTACATAAGATAATAGTATGTAGTTTATTTGATTGTGTCATTGAATTTCTATAATAAATTATTTATCACAAAACCTTGCTGCTTGGGAGAGCTGAATGTCATGAGGTTCCAAATTAATTGAGAAATTCTTGCAGAGGGAACATATCCTATAGTTTTTGAATGAGACGGTGACAGTTGTGGAAACAGGTTTTCAATTACCTTACTCAGAGCTCTTTCCTTTTGATGTATTTTTTTTAAAATAAAGATTGGACCTGCAACCAAAAGACATTGAGAAATGTCTTTTCCCCTATCCTATACCATAGATCCAAAAGATTTATATATTACAGTTAAGTTTTGCTTAGGGCAAGAAATGTAGCACCAGTAAATTTTTCTATGTCACACAGAAATATAACATAATGTCTTAATGATTCCTCCTTTCATATGGAAGGCTTCACATAGTTATAGCTGGTTAGAACTCTCTTTTAAACAAATGAGATCTCAGTTAGCAAAAAGAGTAATTTCAGACTATTTAGCCTCCCCTCTTACATTAGAATTCTATTTGCATCTCTTTGAATTTCTTTAGCCGGATGTAGATTTTTTTTTTCTATAGACTTTCCTATCCCATTCTCATTTATTTTTCATATTTATTCCTAACAAAAAATTTCTTTGAATGATTTAACCTGCCGCACAGGCTAAAAACGGTCAGAAATTTGCAACAAAATTTCTAAGGTGTACTCAAACAATCAAAAATTAAATGTAACATTAAAAAAAATATTCTCAAAATATATGTGTGTGAAAAATATATGGAGCTGCTCAAATCTCATGGCTGAAAAAATTCTAAAGTAATGGTACTGCAAAAGAAAAATAACATCCGTGAGTTTTCATAACCTTTACCTCTCCAAAATGGGAACTTATTAACAGGAACATTGCAATGAGTGAGTTGAAATCAGGTTCAGGCAGTCCTGAACGAAAACTTGGATCAAAATGTTGCCAAGTCTTCTAATCTTCTAAGTGGAATACATCCGCTTATTTTCACCCAGAGAACTGTTCCATGCCCCAGGCTACTCCGTTACATTTCTTCTGCTATTTTTATTTTCAATTGACTTATTGGATTACATATCATCATGGTTTCTGTTCCATCCTTCACAAAGCAATATGAAGTAAAATCACAATAAGTTTTATTTCTGCTAAACTCAAAGCAGAGATAGTAAGAAACACAGTGAAGCAGTACCCACCGTCCTGCTGACCAACAAGTCTATGGTAAATCAATCACATAATCTATCCTGCTCTTTGAGCAACAAATTGTAATAAAAAATACCAACATAAAATAAACGTGTGGTTCTAACCTTCCATGTTTTTTTAGTGTGTGTTGTGTACATTTTTCTTGCGTGCAAAAAAATAAATAAATCCGAGCAGTTGGTATGAAATGACATCCACCTGCCAAACTGGTGTTCCTTTGCTTCATTTAAAAGTTTATTGCAAGCTGTGAAAGTGAAATGATTGTTATGTTGCTAATTTTGCAAAAAACTGCTGTTCCCAATAATTATAACCATAGGTGCATGATTCCATGGTAGCTGGAATGGAGTAATAGGAATGCCTTCTCAGCAATAACTATGAACAAGAACCAGGAATGGGATGCTGAGGCTCTGTGCTCAGGGAGATTGAAGTAACTGTTGGCATGAATTTTAGAACAGGAGACATGATAGCATAAGTATTTTCAACTGTAAGAAATAGATGATTTAAAAAACAGTGATTCAAAATGGTGGTGGAGAACCTTGTTCTGGTTTCAGGTAAAGACCAATAAATAAGTTAATAAAACAGTTAATTGTCATGCACACACACACACATTATAATATATATAGTATATATATTGGAGACCTTTTGCTCTTTTTCTGCTGGAATAGCAGCCAAATTTGTTTTTTAAAAATACTACACACTTGCAATTCCTTCTTATTTCCTAGCAATATTCCAAGCAATGATAAGTGCTGTTTAGAATTATTTCAGAAGTTTATCCAGAATGCAGTTTGGGCAGCTAGTCTGTCTGTGTCACCCTCCTTTTTTTTCATCATGTAACACACACAATACTGTCGTCCAACAAAGGACGCCATGGAAAGAATGCACTGTAGGAGCTTTCACACTTTCCCTTTACTTTAAGATAAGGGATTTCATGATAGATTGACACATCAAAAATCAGACAGTAAAGGGGATATCAAAAAGAAACAACGCAAAATTTTAACTGACTACTAACATAAGTGCTGTTCTTTGATAAATTGTCACAGCAGGTGACAACACATAGCTGACCTTGGGTTATCCTGAAAAAACTAAACAGAGATTAGATGAGAGATTTATTAACTCTAGGGAAAAAATAGTATTAAATCACTTCAATATTGTTGCCAAGACAATTGAATGGATATGATGGATATGTGCATGAGTGCAGTCATCAGAACGCCATGATAATTTTTTTCCTGACCAGATTTAATATACACACTCTTGCAATAACTCATTTTACCTGACAGTTCAACTGATTTCCAGGTTTAAAATATTTTTTTAAAATGAGGAATCTATAATTAAATCTCTCACATGCAGTCAGATTGTTAAAGATTGACCCTAGTACCATAATTTTTGCACCTATTCTGAACCACACATTATGATTTGCAAGCTACAGTTGCTAGGATATGCAGAACATGCAAATCCAGAACCAAATGCATCATTTTTGGCCTTAATACTCACAAAGGCAATATTTTCTGGCTACTTGGCTATACAGAGGAACAGCAGTGCTGTGAAGATTAAATCTCTCGGAATCTTTAATTTAAAATGCCACCCCTACCATTTATGTTATGATTCACTTATATGAATATAGAAGGCCTTTAGTGATAGATATTATTATCTACTAATGTCTACAGTCAAAAGAATGGGCTTAGAGGACAAGTGTGGGGAAGGTGCCAGTACTATTAAAAAGAGGAAATGCATAAGGGAAGGAGGAGAAAAGGAAGAAGAAGAAGCTGGGAAGTAAATGCTGCAAGGCAGGAATCTTGAGATTGATTTGCTGGCTAGTTAAGGGAAGTTAGGCAGGACTTTGCCAGTGTATCTGAGGTTACTTCTTTTTAGTTATTTATTTTTTAGCAAATTGACCTTTAAGGAGGGCAGATGAGCTGAGAAAGTTCATTGTGAGGTAGATGGAATGTTGAAGTCATCAGTTGGTGGAGGAGGGGGTTGGAGGTTCTCTATGTAGCAATTTTCTTACAAGGAGCCTGCCCTTGGTTATACTCTGAGCTGGTGAGCAGGCTTCTGCACCTTGGTTTGATGGGATTTCAGACAGCTTTGTCTGGGGGCAGGAAAGATAAAGTAAATCTGTGTTGATGATGTTCTATATTAACATTCTCGAAATCCTGAGCTCTGATTGGTCCATACGGATCACAATCTGATTGGCTAACTAAACTACTGTGATTGGTATGCTAAGAATCCACCGCGATTGGCCGAGCCAATCGCGGGAAATTCAAAGCGCTGCCATTGGCCGCCGAGCTGCCGGCCGGCTGAATAAAGCCAAGTGGCTCGCAGGTCTTGGACCGAACTGTATATTCAATAAAGAGCTGAATGTGCACTTTGAGTCTCGCCTCTCTATGCTACCCGATCTACCCGGGACCGATCTCCCGGACTTAACACTGGTGATGAGGGTGGGATCGTGAGATGAGGAACCACCAAGCACGTGGCAAATGGTGCGAAACGACCAACAAGATGGCCAGCAGCACCCTGCCACCCGCTCCTTTCAACCCAGCCACCGAGGACTGGGAATCCTACACCAACCGCTTCCAGATGTTCCTGGAATGCAGCAATCTCAAGGATGCCAATGGGCAGAGGAAACGAGCCATGTTCTTGACACACTGCGGGCCTGCAGTGTTCAAGATGGACAAAGCGGTGGCAAAGCCCGCCGACGTGAAGGAGATGGACTGGGCTGACCTCAAGCCCATCCTACGCCACC